ATCCCCCACGCTTTGAACCCGGTGCCCAGTTTCACCCCATTAGTCCTCACCAGCATCCTCACAGGGGTGGTGGGAGATGCCGGACCTGTGGTCTCACCCTTGGACAAGCTTCAGTCAAAGCTTTGGATTGTTTTCTACGCCAGATCAACCTTGGGGCACAGCCATAGGAAACCAAGTTTCCTTATTGCAGCGCTACTGTAAATAAAACATCTTCCATTTCTGCCGCCAGCCCCCCTACAAGGGGCTGGTGCCCGCTGCTGGCCCTGTGTGAGGACACGGAGGGGCAGGATGGGGCCCTGCAGGGATGGGTGCGGGAGCAGGGGCATCCAGCTCACCCCTCCCAGCATCTCTTGGTCCTGCGACTCCCACCAGTGCCAAGGTCAAAGCAGTAGGAAAATAGAGTTTTATTGGGCAAAGTGGCTTTGTGCAAAGAGCAACCGCAGCATGGTACCCAAAAATGTTGCTCTGCCATGTCTGAGAGTGGCAAGAGGGGACTGGAAGGGGCTGGGGGAGCAGGTCCTGCCTGCTTGTGGGGCTGGGGGAGTACTGGACTCCCTCCACATTGCTCCACAGCCCCCCATGGCTGCAGCAACCCCCTCCCAGGGTCCCCCTCACCCAAATCTTCTCCACACTTTGGAGGTTTGGCAGGGATAGGAGAAAGAGGAGAAAGAGGAGAAAACTAATCCTTTCCCCTCCCCTCCCCCCGTCTACAGGGAGAGGCACCCACACGTGCCCCCCGCCCCAGCGACTGGGGGCTTCATCCCCACCACAAGGGCTCGGCCCTTAGCTAAGGTCTGTCACCAGCGTGATATTTGCATATGCAAATGAGACTGGCTAATTTGCATGTCTGTCCTCATCAGCTCTTGTTAAAACACTGCACCCCACTCCTGCCTCGGCATCGGGGTCCCACTCACACCATCACAGCCCCTGGCTGCAGCTCAGCTATGGCACCAGCCGTGCAGTGGCTCTGGCTCAGTCCCTCTGGCACAGTGTCACCGCTCGCCCCTCGCACAGCCAAAAGACGGGATAGAGGGGCTCCGTGAAGATGTTGTGGAAGGAGTGGATGAGCTGCGTCCTCTCCCCGAGGCCGTAGAAGGAGAGGAGCCCCTTGCTGTAATCCAGGCTGACCCCCAGGTTCTTATACAGCTGCTCCTGGATTTTCTCTGCCCGACCCTTGTGCCAGGCCAGGTAACAATCCTCCCGCACCTGCAGCCCCCACGAGCCCCCGTCCAGCCCGATGTTGAACTTGTGGCCCTGCTGCCGCTCCCGGGGGAGGCTGTGGTAGGTCACCCCCAGGATGACAGAGTGGCTGGAGATCTTCACCTCCCAGTAGTGCTGGGCATGGCCGTAGCCCTGCGTGCACAGGACCTGCCAGGGCTCGAAGCGGGATCCCTGCTCCTGCTGCCCGCAGACGGCGCTTAGGCTGTGCTTGGCTTTCCAGTTACCTCTTGACAGTTCCAGGTACTTGTTGGCTGTCTTGGGATCGAAGGTCAGGTTGCGGTGGTCTGGGAAGAGCAACGGCATGGATGGGGCTGAAATGCTTCATCAGACCTTTTATGCCCTTAGCGTGAGCCCCCCCAGCGGTGATGCAGTTTAAACTGCATAGGGCTGGCTCCCAAAATAGAAGGGAACAAGTTGTAGCGTGTTTGGAGGGGAAGGGGAGCGGGGGTAAGATGCAATACCTGCCCACCCGCCCGCCTGCTAGAAGGAATGGAAACAGCCCAGAAATAGCTGGTGAAGCACCAAGACGTGACGCTCCGCACAGTCCTTGCACAGCCCAGCTCACCGCCAGCAAGCAGCGGTGGCTTGGCAGTCATTTTAGAAGAGATGTGCTGGGTTTTAAGAGCAAAAATGAGCGTAGGTGGGGAGAGGGGGAGAAAACCAGGCGTTAAGTGAGCAAATACTGTATTGCGGGGAGTTGCTTTCCTCTACATGCGCTGTAGCAACCAGCAACCTCACCTTCCTCCCACAACAACCCAGCCCAGCCGGCTACGCTGGGCTCATGCCTGCTGCCCATAAATAACATCTTTTTTCTTATTAATAACCCTGAGAATGTTTTGTGGGGCCTGGTGGAAGGAATCCTTACAGGTCCCTAAGGCATCGATTGCCTCCCTGGCAAGAGTGATGTGACCAACGTGCCCTAAAGCATTATCCAACCATCTTCCCACCAGGGGGGAGATGGGAAAAGGAGCACTGAGGAAATCCCTAAGGAATTGAAGTAGGATGGGCCCAGGGAGAGAAGGGGACACGAAGGACTGCGTCTGGGAGTGCTGGGGCCATATACCTGGCTGGAGAGCAATGATTGCAGGCAGGGCTCTGCAGGCAGGGCTCTGGACTGGTGCGGTGTTGTGCGGGGCAGCTGGGGCAGCCCACGACACATCCCTGTGCATGTTCATTTGCCAGCCACTGACATTGCCTGCCTGCCTGCGGGGAAGCGCTGTGCCTAAATGTGGGTCGTCGGGAACAGGCACGTCGCTCCTGCCCAGGCGAGACGCCCGAGGAGGGTGAAAAGGAGAGGATGGAGATGGGGCAAGATCTGGAGTAGCGACCGACCCAATGCTGGGCACTGGCAGCCCCATTTCCCATGGGAAAGCATTCCCTGGTGCTGCTAATCCCCCTAACGGGCCCTTTCCTGGCCATGCAGTGACCCCAGATCATCCGCCCCAGCCCTGCAACACCGTTCTCTGCATTTAGGGAGAGGGATTGGGAGAGGCAGGGAAGGACCCCCCATCACCCCAGCCACACCACCCTCCTCCCAGGAAAGAGCTCAGCTGTGTGAACCCTCTGCCTGCTGGGGACCCCAGCAGGGTGCTGTTCCTTCCAGGCCCCCGCATGCTCCTCACCCTTCAGAAGCTTGGCTCGGAGCTGGCACTTGGGGAGAGGGGCCACCACCTTCACCGACGGCCTCTGGGGATGGACTGGGACTGTGGAGGATGGGGACAGGTGTTTTGAGTGATGCCAATCATAAACTTGTTCCTTCCTGGCTTCAATGGGAGGAGGAGGGAGTCCATCGGATCTAAGCTTGGGAGGGGGCATGTGCCACCATGGCTCAGCATTGCCAGCAAGGAGAGGCCACAGGGACGCCACCCAGCTCATCCCACCCCACTGATACCCAGCTGCTGAACATTAGATGCGTGTCCCCACCCCAACCCCCTGTGCCCCACAGCCATGTCCCCAGCACGGTGGCATGGGCCAGGCTGTGGTTCAGGATGACCCTGTGAGCAGAAGGGTTACCTTGGCCAGTGGGGTCAGGGGCTTTGGGGGCCAAAGAGCGGGGCAGGTCCTCCAGCAGGAGCCTGGAGACGTTGGTGAGGATCTCAGTGATGGGTTTGACCACATCAGCTACATCAAACTCCACAGGAAGCAGCGCCTCTGGGCTCTCTGGAGATGGGAGCAGGGAGAACTCCTGTAGACAGACACACAGACACCCATGCAATGGCTTGGGGAGGATAAGCAGCTCCAAATCCCATCCTCACCTGGCACATCTCCCCAGTGGGCGATGGGGGCACCCCCAAAACATCTGCCATTAGCTGCAGCTGGTGTGGGGCCAGGGGACAGCCCCAGGGGCGGGGTGAGGCTGCGGGGAGCAGAGGGGCTGTGGCAGAGGACTTTGTGTTTTGCTGGCGGTGGAAGAGCCTTGCTAAGTGGTTTGGGGGTGGGAGATGCTGCCCATGGCCTTGTGGGCATCACCATACTCTCCAATCCAGCATTGCCCCTCCAACTTTTCAAGGACCCCCCCCTGCAGCCCCATCGCATCCCTGAGCCAGGCTGAGGATGCGTCCCCCCCGAGGAAGGGGGCAACCACATCTCTGCCCTCACCAAAAGGGCGCGGGGCTGGCAGTGCCCAGGCACGGGGAGGGATGCAGTGCCAGGATGGTACCTGGAGGAAGGTCCTGTGGTCGGAGCAGGCCAGCAGCTGCTGAGCCTTCTCCCTGTGCTGGCTGAGAGCATCCAGGCAGTCCTTCAGGAGGCTCCAGTCCTCTCCCACCAGCCCCAGTGCCACCGCCTGCTCTTGCTCAATCCTGGCCACTGTCTGCCACTGGCAATCCTCCAGGGCTTTCCTCAGGATGGTGAATTTGCTCAGAACCACCGATTTGAGCCCCTCGGATGAGTCCTGGGCAGGGAAGAGCTGTGAGAGCCAGCACGCTCCCACCTGCCTGCCCAGCACTGAGGTGGCCGTGATGCTACCTTGATACTGTGCATTCGCTCCTCCAGCTCCTCTATCGCCCGCTTGATCCTCTCTGATTCCTCCTGGGCTTTTTCCAGGGATTCTTCCAAAAGGGCCTGCAAAGGGAGGCACCAACACCCTGCTGCCTGCTCAGCCCCGGGAGCCCTCTCAGGGCTGCAGGACGAGGCTTGCAGGGAAGAATACAGTTTGGGAAGGGGAGAGGCTGTGACCAGGGTCACTGAGAAGTGAAACCCTGTGCTGTCCTTCACCCATTTGCAGCTGTTTTCCTCTAGTTGAGGGGGGGTCGCAAACACATATGGCACTGTTCATCTGGTGCTGCTGGATTTCCCCAGCTCTCTGCTGCTCCTGACAGTCCCTGGTTTCTTTGGGAGCAGATGGGTGCTGGTGGCATCTCCCTCGACAGTGCCTGTGCCAGCCCCCCGTTCAGCTGAGGCCGGGCACAGCTCAGCACACAGAGACACGTCACATCCCCGCAGCAGGGCACAGGACAGCGCAGGTGGATGTCGTGCTGTGCCCAAGCT